TAGTTTTCATATGCAACATGCAGATTTCATCCATCTGATGCGATCACTGTGGCAGGATCCCTGGTGGTCAGAGTCATAAATAATTAAACTGCTAGTCTGACGCCTCATTTGTCTTCTTAAGAGCTCGTCTCTTCTGCAGCAGGCCCGCTGCATCCCTGTGAAATGCAGCGAGTTGTTTTGTTTATCTCGATGAAGCTGATGTAAAGGCTCTGTTGTCATAGTGATCACTGCAGCCAGATTGGTTATGTGAAACAGGTACAGTCTCCACTTCAGTCTGTCTGGTATGACATGACAGGAGAGTGCTTGTGGCCATTATCCACAGGTTAAATCAAGATACAGAGCCTGCCTCTAATGGAACATGCTGAGAGACAAGCATTTGCCTTTGACTGTGTGGTGCGCGTGTTTCAGAAGACGTATAGTTGTGAAATGGAGTTCAAGTAATTTATGTCAAACAAAGACATTTAATGGCAACCTTGGTTACCAGAAGGTCTTATCTTGTCATTAGTCTCTGTCCGTTCAGAAATGTGTTTTGCAGCCAGCTGGTGATTTCTTGTCGTGCTGAAAAACTTTATTCTCGATTCATGTTATTTTAGTTCTTGCTGGAGAGCGTGCAGTTTTGGATCTTGCATCATTTAAATTTTTCCTCCCATTTATTTATACAGGTGGAGAAAGAGAGCGGATGACAGCCAACCATGAGACCTACCTTCTTATGGCCAGCACCCAGAATGACATGGAAGACTGGGTGAAGACAATCCGAAGAGTCATCTGGGCGCCTTTTGGTGGAGGTTAGTACATACTATTTTGGTTTCCAACAGTTGTGAAACGAAGACGTTGAAGATGTTTTGTCTCCAGTAAATCCAGCCCACATCTTCTCTTCACAGCATTGTGCTCTAGCCCCTACCTGAACGTATAAACTCACTCTGTGTTTAGGCCAGATAAAGCTGATATGTTGAAAAGGGACCTTTTGGTCAGCAAAACCCATTTTGGACAAGTAAAAGTCTTAATATATGAATATATTTATACAATGTGCATACCTGTGGAACGTGCATTCAAAGTTTACCTGCTTTATTGTCATTTGAATTATATCAGAAGTAACAAACGATTGTGATGCAAAAACACAGATGAATATATTTATACAATGTAGATATAGTCGAGATGACCTGCTGAATCTCGAACTGAAGATCAGAATGGAGGAGAAAAGAGATTTAAGTGACTTTGAAAGTGGAATGGTTATTAATGCCAGACAGACTGGTCTCAGTATTTCAGAAACCATTGATTTACTGGGATTTTCCCACATAGTTGTCTCTTGGGTTTACAGAGAATGGTCTGAAAAACTGAAACTACCCCAGATTCTCTGGGTAAAAATGAATTGTTGATACTGCAGAAGACAATACCAGACTACTTCAAGTTCATAGGAAAGCAAAGTAATTAAAATAACTACTAGTTACATATTTTGGATATGCTCTTCTGCATGTCCAAGATATGTAGAAGAGCATCTGAACACACAGCGTATTAGTGGTAACATTTATTTGAATTATTCTGTTTTTAACTGTTTGAATGTGTAGACATCAGCAAGACAACCTGCAGAAGTTCAAACACAGCTGTAGAAGGGGGACGAAAGGTGATTTAAGCGACGTTGAATGTGCCATGGTCAGTGTTGGTCAAGTTACTTGAAAAAAGTAATCAGTAACAAATTACTGATTACTTCCCCCCAAAAGTAATCCCGTTACTTTACTGATTACTTATTTTCAAAAGTAATTAATTACTTAGTTA